AGCTAGCAGTATCAAAATGGTCTCACACCTCGGCCTATGTCCAGTGGGTACATGAACTCATGATGAGTGAGAGAGTTTTGATATTTCCTAAACATATTTTATTTCATTACTGTGATAAATTCACACTTTTGCTATGCGTTTATTGCTCATGTCCTGAGAACAATGAATTTTCCATGATTGCCCAGCTCTAATAAAAAGCTAAATCCTCTTCAGGTAATTGCTGATTGAATACCAGATTGCATGATGACGGCCAATATGTTTGGCCTCTTTTACTCTTCATCTGGTCTGTTCTTCTGCTGCATACAATCAAAGCCCACTTAAACAATGGGAAACAGGCACAAAAATCAGAAACCAGAAAAACTAAAGCTATCCCAAATAGTTTCAATTGCATAAAATCTTTGATTTAAGAGAGCTAAGAAAAGCCGGAAAGCTAACTAACATGAGCTAACAAGGAAACGTTTTATAGTTTCACTTGATTTGATAGGAAAGACTTAAAATACCTAGCTAACTAGACAGTTGTCTTATTCTGATATTTACTGATGTCTGATGGTGTCAGATGAGTTAAAGTCGGCCTAATCGTCATTGTCTTTTCAGTCACTGATCAATCTGGGAGGTTGTAAATGATTGATTGTTATGATTTTTAACAGTTCCAACATTTATATGTATTACGACTTGGATCTGAGCAGTAGGATATTAAAACAGCATTTGGGCTACTCGCTAAGACATGACATGAGAGGAACAAGGCTTTAATGTCAATGGAAATAAATACGGCCAATTCCTGTAAATAAGAATCCAAACCAAAAATACTGTATTAATCCCAGGGGGAGATTCAGGTGTTACAGTTGCTTTTTAGCATAATATAGCAGTTATAGAAATACATTTAAAAAAAATTAAATAACATAGAATAGAAATAATAAAATTTGCAATAAAATAAGCAATAAGTAAGAAAAATATGCTATAAGCGCAGAGGGTTGAAAGATAGGATAGGATAGGATAGTACTTTATTGATCCTCAGAGGGGAAATTCGGGCGTTACAGCAGCACAGACAAGAAAGCTCAAAAATACACATTAAACAGAATAGATAAGATAAATAAATATAAAAATAAAAACAGGGGGTATATACAGTACAAAATGAATGATGAAGTTAACTGGGGGGAATTGAGAATTGAGACAGTATTTGCAGAGAATGACAAGATAAAGTGACAAGTGATGATTGAAGTGACTTGGTATGATAAATAGCAGCAAGTAATGTAAACAGCAGAGAAGAGAGGCAGTGTTGTACCACAGTAAGATCGAAACAATAGTTACAAATTATAAATAGACACAATGTGCTGTGTTGAACAGTGGAGATATTGCATGGTGTGTGTATAAAGCTCAAATGATTTGACACTCAACAAGTTCATTATAGTTTACCATAAACAGTGCAGGAAAGTGGTGATGATAATTAAATAAAGTCTTAGTGTCACGTCATCAATTTGGTCTCACAAGCGCCCCCTACCTCATATCACGTCCATGTCAGATCTATCTGCTGTGTGTCTGAATCACCTCACTTGATGTTTTATAACAAGAATGACTCTTCCTAAATGACTAATCCAAACTGGTTACACAAGACGACATTCTAACGCCAGGTGTGACCCAACGTACTTCGAACCTCTAAACTCTAAACAAAACACCTAACCATGATTACCATGATTTATTTTTCATTAGGTTTGTATCAGACTCCATTTACAACCTCTTGTTAAGGGTTTAATTCACAGCATATCTGTGTAAGTCTCATAATCATTTATACTCTGGCCTTAACAACATTGCGAGGCAATCAAAATGTCTTAGAGCACAATAAATATGTGCTTTTTAATGTCTCAATAGCCCGCTTATGACAAACAGTGTGTGCAGAAAACAGAGCTAGAGCAACAGAAACAGAAAAGACAGAGTGTGTGTGAGAGAGAGAGAGAGAGAGAGAGAGAGAGAGAGAGAGAGAGGTCAAGTGAATGCATGTATTTATAGCACTGAAAGTGAAACTAACTCTGTGCTTGTGTAATGTGTTTCTGGGAAGCCCTATGGTTTACAAGTACACCGGGGTAAACATGTGCTCAACAGGACTGACTCATACCCCAGTATTAAAGTGGAGCAGAATATTACATTCCTTGAGCAAAAGCAATTCAGCTACCAGTTAAGCTTTTGAGTGTATGATTAGAAATAATCAGTATGACACCTAAAACGTATCCTTTGTTTTTTAAAGACAGCAGGCACTTCAAAATAACACTCATGTACCTCAGTTATTTACAAGTAAAAGCAAAATACCAGCTATCATAAGAAAATTGTGTATCCAGCTAGCCCAATTTAACATCACTGTGACTACTCTAAAACTGTGTAAACTTCGACAACTAAAGTTCTGAATCTGTAAGGAAAAGTTGATGAACTCTACCCTCATCGACTGCATCTTGTTGAGGCGGTCAGCTTGCCTTTAAATTCTGTGACACTGGCAACTATATTAATATAAATGGCTTTACTTTCATAACTAGGTCATGTATAAATAGCTACCTTTGCCAAATAAAGAATAATGTGTGATCAAGTGTGTATGTCTTGTTTTGGGGTTTATTGTTAAAATAAATCAGTTCAGTCTAGGAGGGAGGCTGAGTTTGTGGGTAAATAATACTTAACCACTGAGGAAGTGGTCCAATTAAAAAATAAATAAGAAGATTTTCAGTTATTATTTATTTCAATTAATATAATTCCATTACACTTAACCCAGTTTAGAGCCCGACCGATTTATCAGCCAGCCAATAATACCGGCCGATATCAGCAAATCCAGTGACTATCTGTATCGGCTAATTTTATACCAGATATGTGCGCCGATATTACTAGATTTATTCACCAGTCCAATATCATTTCATTTGAGTATCATTGTATTAAACTAGCATTCCTCTTTCACCAGCAGAGGGCGCTATATGGATTAACACAAGAATTATCACTCTCCAGAGTGAGAAGCGGTGATGCACGTACATGCGCAGTTACTTTCCAGCTGAGTGAGCATCTTATCTTCATTATATCTTTTCCACCAGTGTTAGATAACTGCATTTGAGGGATCAACACAAATATATATCTATCTATCTCTACAGATCGAACACAGAATTAAAAAAGATATCGGCCAATATATCGGTATCAGATTTTTTTCTCCTCCCAATATTATGGAGATAGAATTGTCTCAAAAAGATTTATACATATCGAAATGATATGTATAAATATGCATACATTTACAAATATACAAATACAAATATACAAATATATAAATCTTTTTGAAACAATTATATCTCCACACAATATCAATATCCGTATCAATAAATAAGACCCTAGTTTTAAGGATACTATTTTTTTTTCTAGTTCTTGCAATATCAAGATACAATCATCCTTATAACTGATGTTATAATCTATAAATTCTCTTTTTGCCACAAAAGTATTTGCAGAGACATTCATAAAATGATTTAAAAACTAATCAACAAGTTAAAGGTGCACTATGTAGTTTTGGTAGAGAAGTGTGAAAGTGCACAGACTCTGTGGTTTATGTTCAAAGCTCTATACAGAAACTGTCCTCAGAGGAAAATTTGGCCTCTTTGACACCGTTGGAAGATAAAATGCTGTGTGAGAAGTTATGGTGGGGGGCCCGCAACAGTGAAAGCTTAACTCTCCTGGTAGCTTTTTTTCCTTTGAATAAAATCTGTGCATTCAGTTCAGAAAATATAAATATAAAATAGGCTATATATATATATACATATATGTATATATATATATATATATATATATATATATATATTCACTTCTCCAGCTTTCAAATTTCACTTCCAAAACCACTTAGTGCACCTTTAAGATAAATGTGTGTGTGTGTGTGTGTGTGTGTGTGTGTGTGTGTGTGTGTGTGTGCGTGTGTGTGCGTGCGTGTGTGTGTATGGGTTTTGTGTTTGGAGACTGACAAGCCTAAATTATCAAACATTATTGTTGGAAAGTACTTACATTTTCGTTTGAGTTTATTATGTGGAGATTCCTAAAGAGAATGGGAGAAAAACATTTAGTGACCTTTTTATAACTGCTATGGCATCTTATGTAACAAGCTCCAGATGGCACAATGCCCTTAAAGACAGCTGACAGTCTCTGAGGGAATCCAAGCAGACCAGCTGCTGTGTCAAGGATTATATTCTCTTATCATTAATAACAATGCTTTAAATGTATTTTTACCTGGGTAAAAAAAAGAGACCTCTGTCTGATAACGGGGGTTGAAGGTCCCCCAGTAGATAATAGAAGCATGCCCTTTGTCAATAATAAAATAACTTCAACTTCCTGTGTTGTTGAAAGGGAATATTACAGCAATGACTAATACTTCACACTGGTTTCCTTATAAATGAAACAACTGGATTCTCCTCATTCTCACCAGAAAGGCTCAGAATTTCACATAACTGGACACATTAAAGTTGCTGACACTTCTGGAGTCTTTTTTTTTTAAATATCAGTTCACTCACCTGCTTTGTTATTTCTTCCGCAGGTAGACGAACCGTCATTTTCAACACGCCTTTGTCCAGACTCATCTGATGGACCTCCTTCGCCAAAACATTTTTCTGGTCTATGAGGGGGAGAAACAAAACCCAGTCAAGTCACCTTTAAGAAAAGTCAAAGTAAAAAGAGGGGGGGGGGGGAAACAGAAGAGATTAAACCCAGCCTGACTGACCCTTCTCTTCGCGGAAGCGCAACACCGCTGTCTTGCTGCCGTCTTCATAGTCAACTTCGCAGTCGCCCCCGCTGGACTTCTTACTTTGAAAGTACTTGACTAATTTGTTTTTAAGCCTCGGTACTTTCTTTTCTTCGAGCTCGACATGCAGAGCAAACGAATACGCGTCAGCCATCGTTGCTGGTCTGGCGCAGTCTGTCGCCTGTGCCTCTGACTTTACTTTCACTTTTGATTTTCAGGAAATGAGGCGTTTTTTTTTTTGTCGGCGTAGCCATGAAGAGCTGCCACAGCAGTGAGGGGGGAAGGACACACGCACATTTATAAACGAAGTACATTGTTCCAAATTTGGCTATAATCCGGAGGTGGCGTCTATCCAGGTCCGCACCCTGTCCGACTGCTTTCGACTTTCTTTTTCTCCGCGGTACTTTCCAGAGGGGTAAGGTGAGTAACTCCGCACATATATACGACTTTAATTTTCTTTTCTTTTTTTTAATTGAGTGCAAGCTTTGCTAAATGAAGTTTGAGCTTCTACATCTACCACACTGGACTAATAGTCTTTTAAGTTTCGTCTCTATTTGTTTTCGTGTCTTCGTTACCTGTGTCTCGCACAAGCAGGCTGTTGAACAGAAAATGGCGGTGTTAATGTAGGCGAGATAATAAAACTTTATCGTGCCAAAAAATGAGCTATAAACAGTAGTGTGGTGAACTGTATTGTATTTTTCCCACTTGCTATTTTTTTTTTTTGTGTTATAGATTTAAGACGTCAACAGTGTGTGTAACAGTGTGTGTATGAAAAAGCTTTAAAATACACTATGAACAATAAAGTCCTATCATAGTTCCTGTGACTATCAGAAAAGTCATAGGAAGTAAATTAACAGCAAAATAATATGACAAAGTTTGGCAACAATAAGAACATCTCAGAAAATTAGGCCTTCTTGAATTTTTTGTTGGGTTTCTACTTGCAAAGATCAACAAGTAAAACAAGTAGGCTAAAACTTTGTGTAGTAACGTTGTTATTCAAGTCTTTCTGAGATAAATATTTACTGATTGAGAAGGGTAATAGCCTAAGTGATAACAGACAGATGAGAACTACTGTTGGACTACTTAGGAACAATTTTGAACATTTGGTTAGTGTATGTCTCCCTCTGCTGGATAGAAAGCAAAACTGCACCTCTGTTATAAATGGAAACCGGAAACGCCTCTTAAGTTGTTAGAGCCCCCTGTAGGCCAGTAAAGATCTTGACTTATTATTTCCAGAGTGCATTAGATTCTGCGTTTCATTACTGATACAGTTCAAGTGTTAAAATTGTTACACACACATATTAAAACTGTAAAGTATACTGTGATAAACAGTTGTTTCAATTGGTTCTCAAATCTCGGGGAACATTTATACAGCAGCTTTAGTCCAGATTGCCTCCAATCATTTTCAAATGATAGATTTATTTGTGTGTTCTGAAAGAGTAATGGTATGTTTAAATCATTTCCATAACTTTTTTTTTGAAAGATATTTTTGTGGGCATTTTTGCCTTTATTGGGTAGGACAGCTGAAGACAGACGGGAAATGTTGAGAGGAGAGAGTGGGGGATGACATGCAGCAAAGGGCAGAGGTCGGATTCGAACCAAAGGCCGCTGCGCTGAGGACTATAGCCTCTGTACATAGGGCACGCAACATAACCGCTAGGCAATCTTGCGCCCCACATTTCCTTTACTTTTATTTTTAAGGTCTACCATGTTTTCCCGGTATATTGCTATGCTTCTTTAGAAAGCTGTGTCTCTATCTGATTTACAGTTTGTTTCATAGACACAATCATTTAAATTAATCAATTTTATTTATCCATACAACATGATTGAACTATTTTGACAATTAGAGATGCACAGATTGAAATTTATTTAACTGATTCAGATTTTCTTTCTATATATGAAAAAAGATAATGATAAGATAAGATACAATCTTTGGTCAAGAATGAAGTATTGCAATGAAGTATAACTTTATGTTTTTATCGTGTCTTTGTTTAGGAGCCATGACCAGTACATTACAAGTTCCTCTTCATGGGGTTTCAGTCAAAATTGTGAGACAAAATGCAGGTGATTTGTGTGAAGTCCTTCAAAGCAAATTTGGATGTACGGTCATCATCGACGGGGTGGATTCGGCTGATGATTTCAGCAGTGCACAGCAGAAAAAGCCAGCCGATGAAGACCAGCCAAGGTTTGCTTTTAAGCTGGATGCAGGTGTTCAGGTGTCTGTGTGGAAGGCTGATCTCACCCGTTTTGAAGCAGATGCTGTTGTGAATGCTGCCAATACCAAGCTTCAGCATTGGGGTGGCCTTGCATTGGCTCTGTCTAAAGCTGGGGGTCCAGATATCCAGAGAGAGAGCGAAAGTTACATCGGAAAGAATGGTGACTTGAATACAGGAGATGCAATTGTCACCAGTGCTGGGTGGTTACCATGCAAGTTCATTATTCATGCTGTGGGTCCTGACCTAAATGACTCCTCCACTCCTAATGTTAACCGGGCTGAACCGCTGTTGAAGAAGACCATCCGGAGCATTCTTAACAAAGTGAGTGAGAAGCGTCTGCAGTCTGTTGCTATTCCCGCCATAAGCTCTGGAATTTTCAACTACCCTCTGCCTCAGTGTGCCGACGCCATCGTGTCAGCTGTGAAAGAATACTATAAAAGCCCTAACAAACATCTTCCTAAAGAGATCTTTCTGGTAAACCATGACGAGCCTTCAGTCCGGGAGATGACCAGGGCCTGCAAACCGAATTTCATGAGTTACAGTCAGGCTGCAGGAAGTCAAGTCAGAGAAGATGCCAAAACGTCAACACACTCTCTCCAGATTGGAAAAGTCCGTCTGATGCTGAAGAAGGGAAACATTGAGCATGAGCAGGTAAGAATCTGCAACGTCTATATGTCCATAAGTTTGACCTACTGTGAGGAGTTTTGAACAGATTATGTAACAGACTGAAATTCATACGCACTCTTTGATATTATCTACGATTCAGAAATACATTATTTGTATACATTAATGTTATTTTTTATGTCTCACAAAACGGTTTCCAGTTTGAATATGGGAAGTGCTTTTGTTAAAACGTTCCATGCAAATATTCAAATGAAGTGACATGAGTGACACTGAAAAAAGGTATAAGGATCAGAAAATAAAGTATAATTATTATTATTTTAAAATACAAACCAGGCATGTTTAGGGTAAGACTAGAAAAGATATATGTTTAACCTCTTGTCAATAGGGGTCGTCAAATTAAACGGAAACTGGAGTGTTACTCTATTAACTTTAATTAAATTTTCACTTATTATATATATTTGATTAGTGCTGTTCTAATATCTCCTTCACATATGGAAATCTATTTCTCATACATCCCGGTCAGACAGGTTTTATCAACGGAAGGCAATCATCCCATATCACTCGTAAACTATTCAACCTCATGCAGCTTTCAGAACTCCAGCACTTCCATTTTTCTTTCACCTGATGCAGAAAAAGTGTTCGACAGTGGACTTTCTGATTTGCCACTTTACAACACTGGTTTGGCAGAGTCATTTATAAATTGGATTAGGGCGCTGTTCCCCTCACCAGTAATTGATTGACGGGTTGATTTCACAAAATGTCACCCGTCACAACGGCACCAGGCAGGGATGTCCTCTCTCTCCATCACTCTTTGCGATATTCATAGAAGCGCTCGCAGCCGCCGTATGACCAAACAGAAACATCAGAGGTATCAAAACATCGTCTACAGAAGACAAAATAATTCTGTACGCTGATGACGTGTTACTCCTCCTTCAAGACCCCCACAACTCATCTTTACAGGAATACTTCTCAGTTATAAAAATCATACTCAGAACCGTCTAATTAGTCAATGAACTGATCATAATGCACTCTCTTACCCCTCTGCATGAACACAGGGGATGTCGCAGCCCTGGCCTCAATCTTTCACCTCCCCGCTCTTAATATGAAATATCTAGGAATGAATATCTCCCCCAAGCTGTCTGCCTCTGATTCTGATACTGACACTTGACTATTTTACCTTAAGTTTTAATGTAATCTAAAAAACGAGATGATTTTAATACCACTCACTCACACTCACTTATTGTACTTTTAAATATGTTGATGTACAGTCTGACCCAGAACGCTGAAGGAATCCTGAGCTTAAAAAAAAAGCTGAGCTCACAAGTCTGTTATTCCTAAACGAATAAATGAAGGTTTTGGAATCAGGGCGTTTTTGTACCTTGTGTTAGCTTAAAGCATCATCCTTAACATGCACCTGGTCTCTTCCCCAGTCATTCACATAGGAGGTACAGCAGCTGTAATCTACAGGAAGTGTCTGAAGACCCCACTGTTTCAATATAATTCAATGTGATCTTGAGAGGGATTTATATCACCTTCTCTTGTAATTAAGATATTTATTTTATATTATATTTGTATGTTTTTTTGTCAGACAGATGTCATCGTGAACACTGCATCAACAACAAAAGACCTGAACTCTGGTTGCATCTCCATGGCTCTACTGAAGAAAGCGGGTGATCAAATGCAAACAGAAATATATCGTACTTCTCCGGTTGGCCGTGTCATCATTACAAATGCCTACCAGCTCCAGTGTAAAAATGTTTTCCATACCTTTTTGCGCTGGGAGGCCGGGTGGTGGATGGGAGCAAGCAACCCTGATCAGGTAGGGTATGAGTTTGACTGTTATGTGGCTTTTAAGTAAATGAATATTATATCATCTGGATTTGAAATACATCTAGAATTCAAAATATATTGAAATTCTGATTGCCTGTTTTTTCATCCATCACAGATTCTTTTTGAGTCAGTACGTGATTGCTTACGTTTGGCAGTCCAATATCAACACAAGTCAATCGCCTTTCCTGCCATCGGAACCGGAAGCTTGAGGATTGACAAAACAGTTGTTGCACAGGTCATGTTGCATGCAGTGGCTGAGTTTGCCCGGATGTGCCAAGCGACATTGGAAGTTCATGTTGTCATATTTCCTGCTGACCGGGACACATTTTGGGTAATGCTAAAATACTGATGTACCATTACAACCAGTAACAAACATGCCTCAAATGCTGGCACAAATATGAACCGAATTGTTGTTAACATTGTTGTGCGATGTAGACAATGCACAGATGTTCACTTGCAACTTTTGGTGATAAGAATAAGAAATCAGCCATCATCGGGTGCCTAGGACTTTTTTGTTGCAGTGCAATCAAAAAAGGTACAAATATAACGGTACTTAGATTTTCATCAGTATCATATCTCAATTTAAAATTCTGGAATCGAGACAACCCTTATTTAATCAGAACTGTTATCAAGAGCGGGAAAAAAATTAACATGTTTAAAGTCCTGTCTTAAAAGAGCTGACAGATGTAGAGAGCCCTCAGGTTCTGTGGTAGTTTGTTCCACAGGTGAGCAGGGGAGGAGACTAGAAACCCAACCCTCAAAGCTGCCTCACCCTGCTTGGTTCTGATTTCCAGAACAGTGTGAGTAAACCTGTCCCAGAGGACCTGAACGGTCTGAATGTCTCGTAACAAACTTAACAGGTCTTACGTATACTTTGGGCCTGGACAGTGCAACGCTTTATAAACAAGGAGTAGGATGTTAAAATCTATGCCTTGACTTGCAAGCACACCAGGGTAACGGTTATGTGAAAGCTTTCTTGGCAGTATTTATAACAGAGAGAAAACTTTGACACCTATGGATAGAGGCAGAATGCTTACATGTGAGATTATACTTTCTTTATTAGGTAAGTGTTAGTCACAACAATTACCTTTCGAGTGTAAAAAATGTAATGTTTATAAATTTAAATCGAATGTATTACCTGTGAGTATGGTGGAAAGTGTTTGCAGTGGTACGAGACACTCCCTACATCTGCAGAGAATTGTTGATTGGGCACGACCGGTCGTACAGGTTCAATTTCCAGCTCTGTTTCACACTTGATATCTTAAGAAGATTCTCCTGCTAAATAAATAAGTCTATAAAGGAATCTCATTCTCTTTTTCAGGCCTTTGAAAATCAGATGAGAAATCTCCAGAAACTAGAATTTCCTCCCAGCACTGAACATGGTAACAAAATATTTCAGATATCTTTTCTTCTTTGTGCTGGCAGAAGCTTGGAGTTTGTTTCTGTTGGTGAATTCATAGTCGTTAATTTCTTGGGTGATCGCCGTTGATTTTTGCCAAAGTTGGGACATCATCAATAATTGTAGAACTCTCCATAAACACCAGTATGTTTACAGTTGTTTGTCTTCATCTAAAACGGGGAAATGCACATTCAATCAATCAATCATTCATTATTTGTACAGCCCCAAATCATAACAAATCTTATCTCGAGACACTTTACAAAAGAGCTGGTAAAAGACCTTACTCATTGCTTTATTAAAAAACACATTAGTTATATACACACAAATCAGACCAAGGGTTACATCAGGTGGAAACTGTAGATCAACTTTGTATTTTAAATGTGAAGCAGTGTTCATTGTAGAGTTGTAGTCAAGACCACACTAACCGAGAGAAAGACTTACCTGAGACCGGAGTGCCCAGAGACCGAGATCAAGGCAGGGCGAGGGCGAGACAAGACTACAAATATCACCCTAAAATCATCGTGTTGTGTGCAGCGGGCGTGTCACTCACTTAGACGGTAACATGGGGAAGGTTGGGGTCGTAACCGGGGGATATCAATCAAATCAAGAATGAATTGTTTGTTCTTTTAGAAAGGGGCATATTCCTTAGAATCAAAGAAATGACGTGGAAAAATAGCCTGTGAGTGGTGGTCTCGACTGGTCTTGATTTAAAATCCAGAGTCCGTCCAGTCTGAGACCGAGACAAGACTGAGTAAAAAGGCTTTTGATTCCAAGACGAGGCCGAGACCTTCAAAAAGTCTTGAGACCAAGACCGTTCATTGCATGTGTCCCTTAAAACAAGATCATTTCATCCCTGGGGCTACAGGGTAATGCTTTTAATACGAGTAATTTGAATGTATGTATAGCTAAAGATGTTGTGGAGTGATCCTAGATTGAAGCCCTGACAGTGTACTTCATCATGTCTCCTCCTTCAGCGTTTGGCAAGCGAGATGAATTCCAGGGCTTCAAGGCTGCATCTCCACAGATAAGCCTGATGGGGGGCTCAGAAGAAGCAACGCGCGAGGCCGAGCGATGGCTCCAGAACCTTTTCTTTAAAACCTTTAGCCCTGTCGTCATCCACAACAACTTCATCCAACAATTTGGGGAGCGAGAAGATCAGCAACTTTCTCCCCTGGTGAAAAAGGGCGTCTCCTTCGAGGAGCATTTTAAGGATGGTCGTGCAAGCATCGTTGTGAAAGGGCATTCGGATGAAGATGTTGCAGTTGCCAGGTTAAAGGTTGAGGCCATTCTCTGCAAAATACAAGAGAAGTTTGTAAAGAGGAAACGCAGGAAATAAACGGAAAGTTGATCCAGAAAACGTATTTTGGAGAAAACACATTGACAGAGCCCGAAAGCCAGGAGTTCAAAGAAAAAAGTTTTTTGTTCATGGATAAGAAACTGAGGATTTCAAAGGTACAGTGGGTGTTAAAGTACAACATAGAAGTATGTGAAGAAAGCTTTGTCATCGGGTTCTCACAATAACGTCTTTACATGGTTGAATGTCTTTAAACTGTGTTAAATGTAACACAAATAGAACCATGTTTTGTCCTTTTCCACAGTAACCTTGCAGACATTTTTCACATTTTATATTCAGGTGGTGAAAGTGGTGAAAGTGGAGAAAGTTGAGAACCCAGCACTGGAGACCATCTTTGAAATGAAGAAAAAACTGCTCAACTGCTCCACATCTCGTACAATGTTTCAATGCATGCCCGCACAGTTCCTCGAGCTGGTCAGTCGTATCGGATTCCACGCGTGTGTCGCTCCACCTGAAGGTATGATATGCTTCTACAAACAAGGATTTGATTATACGAACGGATCCGTCACCGCCATTTTTTTTAAAGTGTCTTGAAATTACGATGACAGCCAAACAGATATAAAACAAGGTTAAAGGCTTCTGTTGCTCTGTACACAGACCCCATACTCGGACAGGGCATCTACTTTGCAGGCACGGTGGAAAAGGCCATGGACATGTGGAAGACGCCGAACGAAGAGTATGTCTACTTTGTGGAGGCTGAAGTGCTGACAGGATCGTTCACCTCCGGTAAACGAGATCTCATTCTGCCACCTGTGGGAAAAGATCCCCAAAGCTGTACGACAGTGTGAGCAACAGAACTGATATCGCTGTCATATTCAGTGGATATCAAGCTCTGCCGACGTACATCATCACCTGTAGGGTGAACTGAAAAGGGATTCATAGTTTTGTGTATTACATGGCAATCAGAGAAATGTGGTAATGAACACAAGGTACTTTCACACACACTATATTCTGAATGAATTCAAATCCATGAGATATGTATTGCTCGCTCTTGAAGGCGTGGGATGACAATCAGAAACAATGTAACTGAGAAGTCACAGATCGATGCCAGGTGCGTTTTTCTTAAAAGGTTGACATTGCATATCTGCATTTTGAGAAAGATGTGAGTTTTGAGGGGGTTTACTTTACTATAACTGTCTGTCATGTTATTTGAAATAGCTGCACAATGAGCATGTTAATCGAAATACAACCGCTTGATTGCAGGATTATTGTACTTTTAGAAGTGGTGCAAGTCGTTGTTTGCAGACAGCATATTGTAGATATGATACATGAAACACTGTAAGAGCTTCATGTAGCTATGCATCAAAAGGGGTTGAAGTTAGTTTTAATGAGATATACAGTTGTGTCTCATACAACAGGTGACAGGCTTTTAGTCAGCAGCAGGTATGATAGGTGAATCACAGCTTAACCACAATCACTTGGTTGTAACTAAATTGTTAAAATGTTAGAAAAAGAAGTGCTTAATTGTGTTTGATGCTGATATAAAAAATAAACTATGTAAAAAGTTGAATGTGTCTCATTCTTAAGTTGAGAATATTAGGGCAATTTCTTTTGACATCTTTTTGTAAGTCACAAACCAAAGCTGAGGAGCTATGTGGATATTAATAATGAATTAAATACAATTAAGATTGATAAATGGTAAATGGACTTGAGCTTGTCGAGAGCTTTTCTAGTATTCTGACTACTCAAAAGTGCTTTTACACCGCAGGTCACACGTACACATTCACACACTGATGGAGGAGGCTGCTTTGGAAAGTGACCATCAGAAGTAACTTGTACCATTGGTACACTTTGAGCTCAGTTGGTAGAGTCGGTCATTTCTCAACTGAAAGGTCTGGGGATCGATCCCCAGATCCTGCACCTACGTCTGATGTGTCCTTGGGCAAGACATTTAACCCCAAGTTGTTTCTGCTGCTTTGTATACATATGTATGAATGTGATTAGTAACTTCTTTACACAGCATCCTCTCCCATCAGTGTGTGAATGTGTAGGTGTGACCTGTGGTGTGAAAGCTCTTTGAGTACTCAGAAGACTAGAAAAGCTCTCTACAAGCTCAAGTCCATTTATGTTTGTAGGATGTTAAGACCAATAGCAGTCTCTCACAATGTTAACAGCAAAAAGAATGCTAAAGATAATAGCATTGATTATGATTAAGCATTAAAGTTTGTCAATGAAATGACATATATGGGACAAAGTAAAGACAAATTGAGTGCTCATCAAGTTGTAAATAACTTTAATAAGCAACTGGGACTTTATAAAAATGTCACACTTAAGTTCAGTGTGACAACAACAATATCTGGCTTTTCCACAATAAATGAGACAAAGTTCCAAACACAGCTGTCACAGCTGCTTGATTGTCTTCGAAATTATTACTGATTTTAAATAGTAGACAAAGACATTTACAGCAGTCCGCTAAGAGCTAACAACATACTGAAATATCCACACACGAACCAACATACGATGTTTAACATTTCAACAGAGCACAAAAACAATCATTCCTTAGCATTGCACACTGGAATGATACTACAGTTAATGACACTTGTGATCCTCTGTCTTAAATCCTCCTACTCTGCGGTATTAGAATGATTAGAGGGAGAACAGGTTGAGTCTGGGGTCTACAGGACCAGGTGTCGGTCAAATTTGGTTTAAACAAAAGGACAACATGTACGGTACAAGGTACAGGAGGAACAATGGAGCCAGGCTGAGTTAGATAAATATGGCACATCCGGCCTCCAATGATGAGAATATTACTGAAATTGATGAAAGTATAAATATACACTGATCAGCCATAACATTATGACCACCCGCCTGATATTGTGTAGGTCCCCCCAAAACAGCACTGACCTGTCAGGACACTTTGTGTTCTGACCCCTTCCAATTAAAAAAACCAGGGTGGACCCTTTCAGCATTTTGAGCTCAAGTAGCTTGTTGGATCGGACCACTCAGACCTGTGTTAAGGCTTAAAGAGTGACTGTGTTAACTGACCACTTTCAGGCATATGCATCTGTGGTTGTCATAGCTGCAACAGATGTTGAGGACGGAAAGTGTCCAAACAAATGCCTCTATATATCGTTTTTTAAAAGGCTGCCCAGGACCCTGTTGCTGGTTCACCAGCTGCAGACCATGAACCCCCCCTCATAAAGAGCTGCAGTCTTCATATCTTTTGACCTAGTCATCCGGCAATCTCATGTTGTCCCTTTTCAGATCTGCTCACATCCTTACCATTGCCCATTTTTCCTGTGTCCATGTATCAACTTCAGAGACTGAATGTTCACTCGCTGCCTAACTTATCCCTGCTGACAGGTGTCATTATAACAAGGTGATCAAAGGTATTCACTTCAACTGTTAGTGTTCTTAATGTTTTGGCTGATATGTGTACAGCAAAGCCGGTCAATCACAGGAGTGAATCTTTGAGTTCATCACTAACTCCGACTGGTTTGAAGAACAATCTCCTGCTCTACACACACACCTCTCTGTCTTACTGTTACCTAGAGCCAAACCAAAAACGCTGCTTCATACAAGCACACACGCACTCACTCACACAAACATAGAGTTACTCTGTGCATTCAGCTATCTCTGTGCCGTCCACAAGCAACGTGTGAATGATCCCATCTCGTCTCTTCCCACTGCTCACTGCCTTTACACAGCAGTTGTGGTCTCCCAGTGAGAAATGTGTTTCTGTGCCGTCTTCCACAAATTCCCCCTGTAGACACAAAAGAGAGGACAAAGACGTTAATCAGTTTCATATTGTCAGCTATAGATCTGGTTTCTGTGCAAAAAGCTGCAGAAAATAGGATGTGTAAGTGCTGTGGTGTCTGACTTTAAGAACAACAACTTGGACATCAGAAATCATTCTTAGAATTAACTTTGATGAACTGCATTAATGAACATTTAGGAATGGTTAACTTGTCATACTTACAGCAGTCTCAATATTCTGTCCATTACACCAAACATCCATCGTGTCTTTCTCTGAAAGAAATCAAAAAGACGTCAAATCAATGAATTTTTCAGGCTTTCAATGACTTCCACTTCACAGTTTTTAAACAGTCCCAGTATGTATTCACTCATACTACTACTTATCTTGTTGGCTCAGCTATAAAAAAATAAGTACAAATCTCTTCACAATAAAGACCTTCTTTTGAAATGTATCCTAATCCATTTAATGATAATAGATCATGAATACAGGATTATTAGTTGTATTTGAAAAAAGTCGACAGGTGTTTGGTAAAAAAATAAAGGATGAAAAATTTGACTTTCCTTTTTTTGTTTATTCACAAAAGTTTAAGTCTTTAGACAATTCTAAAAAAGGTGATTAGTGTTTCGACGTGGAAGCATTTAACAAAACAATATTTACCTTGTATTTGTCAGCTTTAAGTTATCACATGATTTATTTATTTTCCTTTAAAACAAAGAATTTGAACAAGCCTGATCTGTGGAAGGAACATTTTGTCAATATTGTTATTGTTATATACAATAATATTGTTACTAAGTGGCTGCTGAGTAAAATATCGTTATTCATTAATATTTTTTTTAATTTTTAACTAAGTATATTATGTTCAAATTATTTAAGGCTGATATGTTTGTTTGAATGTCTGTTTTACAGCCTGTAACAACGGCCTGTTAAAGATGCTTTTGATCCTGATACAGTCACAGAGTGCTGCAGGTAACTTAAGGTTAAAGGCGCAGTAAAGGGCTTGATCTAACTTTTCAATGATGCAAGAAGAATGATAGTATTCTTTAAATTACCCATGAGGCAACATTAAAACCTCTTTATTCCAAGACATCTCAGTAGTACATCTCTGCATCTATAACTAAAACAATCTTCTTTTATTTTGGGGATTTTGCTCCTGTTGTAAAGGATCGTGGATAAAGTATGAAATGAAGATGTGAGTGGGGAAGGACATGGAGCGACAGGAGCCACAGGCCAGACTCGAACCTGGGCCACCCACCCAGAGGAGCAAAGCATCCATACGTGGGTCAAGACCTGACCACTAAGCCATCTGCAACCCTACATGAACAACAGTGTTATCAAACTAAAGGAAAGGTATAGTAAAAGCATATTGTATATATTTTGTCAAAGTATCAGTTTTCAAGATGTAACGCTGAAGGATTTAAGGTTTTCATTCCTGCCAAAAAAACATCACTTTGCACCCCAAGAATGCATTTCCCCTTTGAAAGTATGTATTATTATCTAGAGGCCTATTGGAAAGAATAGAACAACAACCTACCAACACTCTTGCCAAGACTCATGCACACAGTAAAACAGAACACATTTCAAAGTTTTTAGGAGAGGCATGTTCAACCAGAATCCACAGAAAGGCCACTTTGTGCAAATTCAAGTGTTTTAGGTATCAATTTGTAAAATGTTTTAAATGAACTAAGATGACATTTAGGGTCATTTGTCCAATGTATCCTCTGGAGTAACTGGGTGTATCCTAAAAGTAGGAGATCTGATGAAAAGTTGGCTTAATGCCAAAAATAGACTCATAAAGAATTAATGCTGCTCAATCTTCACTGATGGGCTGCTCAATCTTCACTGATGTGTAGTGGTGACTGTGTCTACAGAGACACTGTCCTCTGCCTGTATTTTGATGTTAAGGTCTATTCTGGACTTTCTGGGTTGGTAGTGGGTGTATTCCCCCAGCTTAAGAAAAGCACACAGGTGACTTTGGGAGTGGATAAAATTCAGTAAATTACACCGGCGAAAGTGGCAGACACAGACGTAGGGGCAAAGAAGAGAATACATTATCATATTGAGGTGCGTTCCAAAATGAGGGGGGTCCATGTTTCGTTTTTGGTATGAAGAGCAAAGCGGAGTTTTCCGGCTTTCCGTTGGACAGGATGGTGCTAAACATGGTAGTTAGCTTGTGCTTGTTTGCAAAATTATCAAATTTCCATTACAAGAAAGATCCTCAATAATCTCAGGTAGCTTGCAGTATAGATACGGGCAAAATTACATACGCTAAGTCCTGTTTTCAACCAATACAAATAACCTGACATTTCAGGTCATGCATAGAAATGTGATGCTGCAGGTGGTTGCTGAGCCGGGTGGGTGTGTTCACCTAACTGCTGGCCTTCTGGAGGCGATGAGCCCAGGGGGGAAGGGCCCAATTTGAGTGTTGTGTTTACAAGCTGCAACAACCTGACTCTACCTTTAAGTGCAATATATTGAAATGATCACTTCTGATATTTATCAATAACTATTTAACATCAATATGCAGTAGTTCTAACATGTTGCACATGGCTGCAGGTAGTGTGCCGCCTGAGCTACAGTAAGCAGTGTAATTAAAAGAAGGATTAACTTGTCTAGATAATAGAGGTGGCTAGAGGTGGCTGAAGATGGCTGAGCACTCAAAGCTTTTAAAGAGCTTAGCCTCAGCTCCAGAATAATATTACTGGGTAGTTCTGAAGAGTCAGTGTACTTTAAATAACAGTCCAATACCTAAAATTTCATCATCCTCTTCTCTGAAACAAGACACTGCTTAGCATTCTTACTGGAAAATGTTTTGAATATAATTCTTGAACAGTTACATGTAGAAAAGTCCAGCAAGCACAGACATCTACTTGATGCACCTGGCGATGGCAGATCTTCTGCGTGAACAGAAACCAATATCAAACAATCACGATCAGGATGAAGGTGATTCAAACACACACACATATATGGGCTCACCTAGGACCACCCTGCAGTCAACACCGTCCAAGTTGAGCACCCAGGTGCTGGTGACCTTTGATCTGTTCTCCATGTACTTCTTCAAGCTCTTCCCGTTGATCTCCAGGGTGTACTCATAGGCAAACCCGCTGACTGCATCGATGTTAATGGTTGCTTTGGTGTCCGCTTTTCCCACATTGAAAGTCTCCTTCCCCACAAGTTTGAACATCCAGTCTCGTCTCAGCACCTCCTGTGATGAAAATCAAAAATAACCAGCTGCACATTACAAATTTAAGTTAAATTAATCTAGATTATCCTCTCAACTAGATGAAAATACCTACCTTTCCATCCACGATGATGATCCTTTTCCCGGTGGTCGTGCCGTGCTCAAACTCTATCCTGTGGACCCCATCACTAAGAGCAACCTCCCACACACCAGCGAGATCATTTGACATCTTCTAAGAGCTTCTTTAGACCCTGTAGAAGAGCAACAACCTATAAAACTACACCTCTAGATTTAGATGCAAATGCATGACTTAAAAGATATCAAAACGTAAACATTAACACCCAACAAACTGGGACGTCGTGAATTAGTTTTTCTTGAACAACTTTTCGAGCTTATTAATTTTAAATCGATGTCAAGGCATCAAACACTGGTTCAAGAAACCTGGCTAACAAAGATAACATGCGGAGTGCTGTTTTAGTGCATGATAACATCCGGTGTCAGAGCTTCGCTTTCAGAATAAAAGCCTCAACTATTTTTGATGATGATGTGAAACGGTAGACAAAATAAATATATGATATTTTAGTGCCCCTGGTGGATTTGGTAGTTTGATTACTGATTGGGAACTCGTTGTTTGCAAATCACCAGTCAGAGGCAAGTTTTTATATATACTTGAATTTTACTTTGAAAATAAAGCGGAAGTGCCTCTGCGTCAGTCAAGCAAACAGCCTGTTCATGTCAATAGCTCTGAACGCTAATGCTACATTCTTCTCAATAAAGAATAACCTTAAAATTGGCTGAGGAATAGCATCACTCACTATACAGCGGTATTACCTAAAAGGTCCGGAAGAAAGCGCTCCAGCTCAGAGGTTAACAAATGACCAGCAGCACTATAAACGCAGGTAGTAGCTAACAGTTTGTTAGCTTCTGCAGAGCCTACAAACGAGCTGTGACTATGATGTTGCTATGGTTACATGATATTCGCCTACGTAAAGACTTGACCACTCCCACTTCTGCAAAAAACGTGTCACCGAGACATAACTCATATAATAAAAAAAAAAATAATAATATAATAAAAATAATAATTAATAAAGATATTTATGGGTTTTATCCATAGACTGTGAATATTACGGTTTAATCCTACAGTCTGTGGTTTTATCTAATATTTTTTGGATTACAAATAAAGTCAAATAAGTTTCAAAATTATTATTGAAACATAAATGTATTAATTATATAAAGGGTCAAATGAAAACTCTAACAGATGATACAGGTTTTCTGTCCGATGAAGGCGTACAGCACCGGATTCACTGCACAGTGCAGGAAGGCCAACACTCGTTTCTGAGCAACAGGTTATATAGGTCATATGAATTGGTTATAAGAATTCAAATATATATATAATGTGTATATATATATATATATATATATATATATATATATATATATATATTCCAAAATCTCAATGAGACTACCTGGTAAAATAAAGGTAAAATAAAAAATAAAAATTCTAAATCTTAATAAAAATCTGTATATAATGTTTTGTTTATTCTCATATATGCATGTGTAGAAAGGCAACATCAGATAACAAATATATTAACACTAAAAAGCTTTTGAAGAAGTCTGAGGCACTCAGAGAGTTAACCCTCTTGGATCCCTGCACTGAAGAGCACCAAAAGGCCGAATTACCCCCAAAAAATGTTCAACACCCGCATGCAGCGCTGATGCATCTATGACGCACTATGCATCTGCTTTTTGACTGAATATTTACAGTAAAACAATGACCTTTTTTTGTCAAAGTGAAACAGAAAAAAACACTGGAATGAGGAAGGACTGAAGGTCACAGAGTTTAAATATTTCATTTTCATTTTAAGCCAAGTGAAAACTACATCAATCTAGAGAGCATACATGCCTTGAAAGTTTAAATGAGATGTTAAAGCTGTTAATGATGTGGAAGTGTGGAAATGTGCAGCATTTTAATGAAAGCAAACAAAAAGTCAAAACAAAACAAAAGAGGATTGAGAGACCTCATAGCATGGAAAGTTCACAAATTATTTATTAGCATCACACCATCACATATCAACATCACTATCTGGCCATATCTTGAATATTCATATATGAGCTCTGTAGATGAATGGGAATTAGCACTCACTGCGCTACATACAGTATACTGTCTAAGGTAGGCTGTCTTTATATTTGCCTTTCAGACCAACAGTTAAAACACTTTTTAACACAGAGAAACTAAAAATGACTAAAAAGAGACATCATTGATTTTATATTCACATGAGATAATGTACAAATATCCTATCACTGTTTTTGCAACAATCACTTTTGCTGCAAAATTTGTGAAGATGTGTATTAATAAGCATTAATTAATAAGAAGAATGTCATGTTTATACTTATCTTGCAGATGTTATTGAATTGATATGAGTCATCAAAGAGACTTAAAGTACCTTGTTTTTGCAAAAAAGATCAGATTTCTCCACCTTTCCTGTTGTGATTAAGACACCTGTTTGCGTAAAATTCGAGTTTATTTTTTCTTCTTTGTGACGTGGGAACATAAAAAAAACTTCCTCTTGTCAAAAAACAAAGTTTAAAGGAACACATTGCAAAATAAGAAGACGGCTCTCAAGAAAAGAAAAAGAAAATACAAAAAGTTAAACAAGCTTCTTTATGAACAGCTAAGCTCTTTTAATACAGGCTCATCATCAATAACATTGATGCCATAGCCATTGACCCCTGTTTAAGTCTTTATATGAAGCTAAGCTAATTAGCTTTTGACCATCTTCAGCCGTGTATTTATCATAGCTACAGACATTCAAGTGACATTTCTTAGAATTCAGAAAATGTACAACAGCTGTATACAGATTATGATTCCTATTTTTTAAGCTAACCTTTACTATTGGTCTTGCAGAATTTTGTCATTCTTCTAGACCTTAAGTTAAGTAAGTTATACTCTAATGTTCTTTTTTATTTTACTCTTTAAAGTGGAAAATGCCCACCACCTGAGACTGTCAAAAGCTGCTCTACCAGGAGCTGGCAGATGTGTTTCTAGATCTGCTGCTCCCTGCGCTGTTAACCGAGCCTGATCTGTAAGACATCAGGATCCTCTTGCTGATGAGGCCGTGTTTGTAAAGAGCCGAGAGCAACTCGTTTCGAAACTTCTCTCCGATGAAGGCGTACAGCACCGGATTCACTGCACAGTGCAGGAAGGCCAACACTTGGGTCACATTCAGAACGGCCTCAACTCTGTAGCGAGTGTCACACGTCTCCACTTTCAGCGATCCACCTTTAATGAGTGTGTCAATCAGTACTGTGATGTTGTATGGCAGCCAGCACAGGACAAATGCTGACACCACTGCCAGGATGACACGCATGGCCTTATGCTTTTGTTGATTTCGTGTGTGGCACAACGTCACCATAGTCCAGCCGTAGCAGAAGGCCATCACTACAAGTGGCAAGAAAAATCCAACTGCATGGCGCATAACGCGAATGCCAACATGCCACCTGTCGCTGCTTTCGCCTGTTAGGTTTTCATAGCAAATGAACCGGTCAAACCCTTTATAATGCAAGCTCTCCCGATGTATTGCCACAGGTAAGGAGAGCAATCCAGCCACCAGCCACACCACGCAGCACACCACTTTCACCAACAGGTGATGGGAGGATATTAAACGTGTAGCCCTCACAATTGCAAAGTGGCGGTCCACGCTGATGCATGCGAGCAGGAAGACACCACTGTATACTGAGGCCTCCTGAAAGCCCGACAGGAGTTTGCATGAGAACGTGCCAAAGATCCAACCAGAATGAGCATCGACCGCCCAGAAGGGGAGGGTCAGAGTGAAGAGAAGATCTGCAATCGCCAGGTGCATCAAGTAGATGTCTGTGCTAGCTCGACTTTTCTCCATGTAGCAAACGACATAGACAACTACACTGTTGCCGACCAAGCTGAAGACAAACACAACAATGTAGGTGATGGTCATTCCCACACTGTTAAATCCAGGCAAAGTTTCACTGCAGGGAGAATACATTTCATCCTCATAATCAGGGGTCGTATTGGTGAGAAGGGCATACAAGTAACTCTGGTCGAATCCGTCCGCCTATAAAAACAAAATCCTTTCAGTTTGTTAAAGTTCAGTGGAAAGGGCACATGAATTCCACTTTGTGATTGCAAAACAATACAAATCAACAATCACTCAATTATTCTATTTACTGTTTCAAATGTATGGACTGGCTACAGCTTAGTGTCCTAAGGGTTGGGTTAGGTTAAAGCTCCTGTGAGGCGCGTTTAGCCTGTTTAGTTATAAAACAGGCTAACATTTAGAGTGATTGACCTACAAAAGAAAACAAGACTATAAGGCAGAAGATTATACTAGTTACTATTAATGTCTGGGACTGATTGTTGTCAGATGAGGTTAACCGCATGCTGCAGAAACGAAAGGCTTAACAAGATCAGCAAATAGATGAGTGCAAAGTGCAGAGAGGGCGCAAACATAAACACAAACCAATAGATCCTCACAGGAGCTTTAAGTAACAAGCCAACAAGTCAAAGGATCTGTTTACAAATTCATGCAACTTGTTAAAAAAGCAAATATGTAAAACCAATTTCTGACATAAACTCTTCTTTTATTTATATGACAACTTTTAAGTCTGGCACTGCAAAGGCAATGTAAACACCACAAAATGAAATGACAGGAGAGAATCAAATCAAATATAAGATCAAAAAGATCTTACTTACAACACTGAGTCTCCTGATTTAGTGCGTATAATCATTTAAATCCTTTACTATAACACACAAGCTGAACGAAGTACACTGCCCCTCTGAACTTACAGATTTTATACATTTTAAAAGCAATATATCTCCCCGAGCCAAGTGTAGTCTAAATAAGGTCCTATTTACTGGAGAACTGGACAAGTTTCAACTACACTAGAACTTCATGAGATGGAAGTGCCAAAGAAAAATAAATCTGATGGAGTCCTTGTGTCTCTTTCACATATGTGTCAATAACGCCTATATACTGAATTAACTAGGAATAAGAATATGAATCCGTAACCCAAATAAATGGAATAGATAAATAAATTAGCTTAATTTGAGACATTCATTAGCATCAAGCTCCATGTACTGAGCTTTCTGCCAAATTTCTCAGTTTTTATTTACTCTGCAATTTTAAAGCAGATCAGTGTATGTGACTGCCCAATGCAACTTTAATGGGCTAATGTCAAAAAACAACCCAACGTCAATTGCCATTTCAAAATTAGCCTAATATCATCATATGAGAATTGTTTCATGATATCCCATTTACTGTTAGAAAGAAAGACAATAACTTTGATTACTTTTTATCATTACGCATATAGGTCTTTTATAGCCAGCTGCAACTTTCAAATGTTAAAGATTCAGGATTAGAATTATTTACCTGTTGTGCCCATCCTTCTTGATTGGTAAGAACCAAATACTTCAGAACACTTGCAATAAAAAGTTGTAGCTTCATCCTTGTGACTAGATGCCCACAAAGATTAACAAGTATGGAACTGACTGACACAGAGTGTCTCATATACTTGGCTTGGTCGAAGAAATTGTGTAATACACACAAAGTATCACTGAGGAAGTATGAGCAAAAAACAGATATGATCTATCTTAGGCAATCTGCATGAAAAACAAAATCTTGAAACAGGTTCTTCTTTCCTTATCTTGTTTTTGATCAAACAGTTAGATGTGGGATGTGACAGGATGTTGTTCACCTGCAGAGCAAAAGTGTCTATGTAACTGTCCAAGTGTATTTAAGAGGTTTAGCTATACAATAAAATAAAATCTGGTGTGAAAACAGACCTTGTTGCCAACGCAGCTAAACCCTTTTGTCATGGTTGACAGGTGATTCTCAAAGTCGTTTTTCCTTTGCAAAATATTACAAGATGAAACTATATGGACATTTGTTTTTGTTTTTTGGGTACAAAGTGCATGATGTTTTTCATTATGGTTTAAGATTTACTAAGAACTCGGAAATAGCCTGAAAAGTACATATAGCGGGACATTCACTGAAGACAGCTGCACATTCATTTGAATATGTAACGGTAATCCACACCTACTTGAGAGTCCACCGTGTTTACACACTTCGTTGCACAAGGCCTTTTATGGTTCTTTTGCACATGCGGAGAAGTTCAATACTGTGACAAGTGCGCATGAATCTGATACAGGCAACATTTTACAAGTAATGTGAACAGCTAAAAAAAACCAACAACAAATAAACCCCAGATCTGAGGAATAAGGATAGCAGTGTGAACGAAGTCAAAGACAACTTTTTCATTGTTTCTATTTGTAGTTGGTTATCTATTCAATGAAAAAATATTTTGGGGTTCCACAAGGATCAATGCTTGGACCCTTTTTTTAAGCTAAAAAAATCAAGGCTGATGGTTATAGTTTTTTTTTATGTGATTGTCAGTGCTAAAAATTCTGTTTTGGTTTTTTAAATGTTTGGGGTATTTCCTTGATATATATTTAATATGATTTAGATATAAGTATTCACTTTTAAATCTATAAGGTTTTTTCAGTAAAGGACAAGAGATACTTATGTTTGTCCCTGGCTTTTTTTGTTGCCACAGCCATCTTTCAACAGTGTGGAAATCTTGTCAATCAATCAAACTTTATTTGTATAGCACTTTTCATACAATGATGTAGCACAAAGTGCTTTACATAAAAACAAATCAAACATCAACAATATGACTCCTATTCACTCCTACTGGCCCTAAGTCGGGAGAAATGAGGGACATCAAGGAGCTGGATAATAACAAGTTTGGTAGAGCATTAGGAAATTATCCTGAAATTGAAAGGGTTTCAGTTAAATGTAAGAACTAAGGACATGGATAATGGTTCCTTGCTTCCTTGACCTCGTTAACAATCCTGCATGAATCCTAAAATGTTACTTTTGACAGTTTAATCCAAAATGAAAACTTAATTTCTTCAAGTATGCTTTATTTTTATTTATTTTTATCCATTGTTATCTTGCACTAACTTGTGCTTTTTAAAATGAGGATTACCTTTTTCCTGGTTCCTTCATAATCTCCATTCCTTCCATCCATTATACTTGAGTTTTTTCCGTTTTGTCCAGTAGAGGGCAACAGCCGCCTTGACCTATGAGTCTACCACAGACCTTCACTGGAACACAGAGTTGGGGGGAATTTGATTCATTTTGATAATAGAGTTGGACAACTTTTCAAACCAAATAACATTTCCTATTCACATTCAAAGATACAGAATATAGCCAGAATAATAATCATGACTTTTGTGCATTTTGGCAGTAGACAAGAGTCTGCATTGAGAGCGAGGATCAATATGGGAAGTTTGAGATTAAATGTTTCTGGAAGTAAGCCTATTTTGAAGTCGATGAGACTGCAGCACTGAGTTGTCAAAACATTTTCTAAATAATATGAAGTAAAATGATTAAATTACAAAAGAGAATTTAAAAAAAATCATCATCAAAAATAGTTTGATAAAAAATAGCAACTACTAAAGCACTAGAAACAAAGAAAAAATAAAACAGGGAAGAGAACAGTGTGACAATAAGCACAGCATTCTGTGTATGTCAATACAGTAGCTGTGAAGAATCAATAGAGGAATGTAATTTACAGGTTGAAGACAACATCATGAGTCATCAACCAATGAGGGTATTTTTTAGCAGTGGTTAAAATGACATTATTCTCAAACAACCTCCTCAACTTCAATTACTCCGTATTAAGTCAGTCAGTCATGTATTTTTTATGTTGATTTTGTTTTTATACTCTAAATACAAAAGCACATCAACCTCCCAAATCATCCAAGAGATTTAATGTTACTGGTTACAGGAAATAGCTTTCCTTGATTTTTTATCACGGGGCCACCTTATCATAGAAATTAGAAATGTACACCAACAAGTGGAGAAGAAACTCAATGTTCTCAAACAACTATTAAAGTGTTGTGGGGGTTAATTCATTACTAAGAAAGTCTGCTATCCCTAGTGAGTCATGACTGTTAGGGTTTTGATGGGGATGTGGCTCTGACTTCCATAGATGAGTGTGTTGTTAGATAAGTATGTATTTTAAAGACCCCTCCCACCACAGATGTTAAACAGAGTTTGGCTGACATCATCACCACAAGGCTTCCTTCCTCACTGGTGAATCCCAGTGACCCTAAGCCACCCTTCTACCTGCTTTCAGTGCTAACTAAAGTAAAACGTTTCCTGATATAACTCTGCCATTTCTATTTAAAGACTGTTGTTTTTGCCCATCTGTCAGACTGCAGGCTGCTCTAATCAGCACATTGTAGCCTGACAGACCTGGCAGAGGTCGGATGTCTTTCCTTTTCCCTCAGTCATTGAAAGTGCTCTTTTTAACCAGTACATACAGCATTTAAATAATAGTCAAGTTTTTGCCATCAAGTAACCAATGGATTGTACTAATCATTGTGATAAAATGGTGAAACTTTAAGACACCTTCTTGAGTGAAAAACTTCAGAATCTGGGGTTGGGGTTTCCTCTGTGGATACATAACTTAGGAAATGAATTACTTCTGCAAGCCCTAAACACATGACACTTCAACTAAAGAAGACAAGGCGGCTTTTCTAGTCCCATAGAACACTCACGCATTTCTTGTTATTCCTTTCCATGGTAGCTTTATTTATAACTTACATTTCCAAAGCAACCTAACACACATTTTTATCCTATTAACAACATATTTCAAGGACTGGTGGCATGCAGTCTTTTTGATGAAACAGCGCAATGGCTGTTTGTGAGATTTATTACATAACTGTATTTACTTTAACCTTATTACGGTTATAATCTTCAATTTCTGTATGCTAAGGAGTCAGCAGCCTCATAGCTTTTCTGGGCTAACCACTAGCTTATAGCTCAATGACAACAAATGTTTGTGTTTCCTCAGGCCAAGTTGAAAAGAGGGATTTTGCAAGGGGTTGCTTTCCAATTACAATTCCTGTTACAAGTCAAACTGTTCAGGATTTAGCATTGGCTAAAGATTAGTATTAGTTATTTTTATTTGGCAAATTTAGACTCTCCAGAAAAACATCTTCTGTAGACAATACAGTCACCAGCCCTTTACAGATTGGGATTCCATAACAGCAACATAACAAAGTCCCGCCGTCATTACCCCTTTAAACACAAGAATTGCAGGAAACTATTGGTGTCTCAGAATGTGGTTTTTACAAAGTTGGGGAAGGGAAGACGTTTCACCTTCTGACAAGGACCAAGAAATCCAAGTGATTTTAAGCCTTTGACATTTGTTGTTTGTTTAATGAAAAAGATCAAATGCTTATGTGGACGCTGTGAGGATCCTGTTGTCCTTTATCAACATATTTAAACAAGTGTTGTGGAAGCGCATAAATATCCCAACTTCAATTGGCAGTATGTCAACAGTTAGCGGTTAGCTACAGTAAGCAGTTAGCTACAGTACAGTATAACACATAAACTTTTCAACATTTACTTGGTGCTATATGGACTGAAATCATAAGTAAAGTAGAAATAAATACACTGGTTTTACAAAAATAATTACAAAAGAAACATGACTCTAAAATAATGCTAATGTTTATTTGTCTATAGGACGATAAAATAAGCTAGTGATGCTAACACATTAGCCAAATCAACTCAAACACTAAATGTAAATAACTTGTTCACTTACAGACATAACTTACCTTTATTCCAATGACTCCTCCCCCTTTGCACATGTTGAAATAAAGGCACTTGAGCTGACATTTTCAAATCGGTTAATTGAGGAAGGAGTTTGAACTCTTACTTAGTTAGCCTGCTAACAGCTTAGCTAGTTAAAAACATGCTGTTTCAAAGTATGTGCAATTTCATTATATTCAAGTAATAGTGCAGAAAATGTTGGCCCCTGCAACTGCTGTTTCCAAAGACACTTTAGCAAAGCAGGTGCATGTAGTGTGTTAAAATAAATATTGATGATAGGTAGGGTTATCATGAAATCTCCAACGATGTGGCGGCTCACAATCTTCCCCCTTCCAAAAGCAACATGTAAGGTCTTCATTCCAACTTTCCTGCAACTATAACACCTGAGTCTACAGTTACACATTTAAAAACAAGTCCAGCACACAATCCAGCCTGTTTGCTCTATGAGCCGTCAGTTTGAAATAGGACCACCCAGACAATCCTCCCGAATACCCGGCCGGCTCTGTTTGCTTTGTTTTTGTCTGCTTGATTGCTGGAGATTAGGTTGTGAACACACCACATAGAGGCCATGTCTATGTAAAATTAGATGGGAAAACAGTAGCCAGTGTACACTCCTGCTTGTCAGTCAATATCTTTATTGTTGTGTCAATGGTAACTCCCATTAAGCCTTTGATACGCACCATCTAATGCAGGTCATTAGATGTTTCTTTTTTTTAAAAGTCAGTGTTGAAAGTAGTGACGAACTTCCTTAGTTATAGTTCTGTCCTTTTTCCTTTAGTTCCTCATATTTTTATCTGACACTGAAGCACAGCCTAAGAGAAGACTTTTAAAATGTGTTTTACCGTTCATAAACTCTCCCTGACATTTTGTAAGAGTTACATTGAACATTAAACAACATTTACAAGGACAAGCAAGAAATTATCTC